GTATATATATATATATATATATATATATATATATATATATAGAAAGAAAACTCCATCTATATAAGGTATCTAGTTTTTTGCGGTACATTATTGTAGCAGAGCATTACGTAGGGGAATGCAGATACACGTTCCTGAAATTGTCTATGTTATTAGATTAATAGGTGTACATGTATAACACAACTAATCTTTTGTGTACCGTGATTATTGCTAGAATCAATTTTTCTTGTCTTTCAGTTTTTTTTTTTTACAATCACATCTTCTATGAATCCATATACATATATGTATTATAAACTTCTAATTGTTTATTAATGCTGAACAAATGTATCCATTCCTTTAAGGCCCTTATATAACGAGGCTCGATTCCGATTATTCTGGATACAGATTCCCACTCATAGTTTTTTGGTATATATTTATTATAGAGATATCTATTGAAGAGATCAACTTATATGCAGCACTTGACATGAATATCGGCGTTACGTCGTCTTGGCATTTTACTTTAACATAACACGTTATCATTACAGCTGATTTGAATACATGTGAAATGCAAAAGTATATTTGTTTGTTTCAAATGTATGGTACCGTTTTGTAGAATTACTGAATCATTAATAAATGCGTGAATTCTACATGTCAATTGATTCTATATGCACGAACAGCCGTATTCTAAGGGTGTGTCAGCGTTTCAACATACGGTTTATGACAGGCCCTTATTCCCGTAGTTGTCTATGAGTCAGAGCACTCTCAGTTAAAATTACCTAAAGCTACTGTCAATTCAGGCTAGTGTCATTATATATATAGAGAGAGAGAATGTTCTTGTGCAATTTTTGAAAAATATATTTAATTAATACATTGTATGTGCATGTACACAGATCCGTGTCGTGCAATCTTTGCCATCGAACCGAACGAATAACGTACCACAATGATGTGCCACATGTGTAACACGTGGTACCGTTTTCTCTGGCCATATGTTATGCACAATGAGCGACAAATTTGGTTTGTTGAAAGAAGATCGACGTTTAGCGAGCTATTAAACAGCTAAATATGCCCACGCGACGTTTATACATTGATAGCTTATAGCAATGTTCCTGTAATAAATTCAAGCATCTTTTGAAACACGTCCCTGTTTTTCTTTCCATATATATTTTGTTTCACTTCAGCTGAATCCAATAGATACACTAACGACTGTTTCAATTGTACCCTGCTTTAACTTTAAGTATATAGCACAGCTATGTAGACTAATATATATCTATATATATATATATATATATATATATATACATACAGAGTTATTATTTACTTGGTTTTTTTGCGTTTACCTAGTGAACTGTGAGCTGCCTGGGACAGAAATGTGTTCACATCAGCTGTATGCAGGCTAAAGGGTACTCCACCGGTGCTACGATATTTGAATTTTGACACAAATATTTTTTAATTCTAATTAATAATAATTCTAAGTTCTAATTAATAGGATTTTCTGAACCTAAGCCAAAGTACGCCCACACTTTCCTTTCAGTAAGTCTTTGACGAGAATATTTGTTTATTGCTGCTAGTACATCTAGTATGACATACTGTAAATATATTCTGTAGCACTTAATGTTTTAGAAACGGCTTTTCTGCATCTTTGATAGGTTAATTCTAATGGCATTCATAAAAGTACAATTAGACTAAAAGAAACAAGCAGAGGCTATATCTCATTTTCAGCCTTTAAAGTGACACAAGTGGTTGCTAGGTTCCAGGATCACTTGCAATATTATATAACAGTAGAAGAAATTGTCGGAAGTTCTAGCCATCGTAGAAACATTTCTATCATTTCTATTATCTATCATGAATCCAATTTTTCGTGCTCTTATTTGTGGCTTATTGCAATTCCCGATGCAAGACGTACGTCTGCGTCTGTTGCGTTTGCAGAATAGGTCTGATACATTCGCAAATTTCCTATAAAAGCAGCAAAAATACCATAATTTACTCTATGCATTACGATGATTGATTCGAGTTGAAATGTCTACACATATATACTATACA